GTCACCTGATGACAATTCGAAACCTTTCGGGGGCGCGGGAGAGGTCAAAATCGAAGTTTAATTCGATCTCCAACCGGAAATGGTCGACGGACTTACTTTCTTCTATTGTTTAAAAGTCTTCTATTGTCTAGCGTCGCGTTTTCATAAAATAAAAAGCTATTTCTAACTAATATATTATTTTCTCTAAAACAATTATTTTAACGCGAATTTTAGTGAGGGTTCGGACCTGTCCAGAGCATCACAATATATATATATATTTTATAATGATGGCTTTGTTTTAAAACATATAACTATAAACATAAAATTAAGGAAAATTTCATAAATGGAAAGCATTTTGTTGAATTAAAAAATATATTAAAAAAAATTAGAGAACTAATTTAAAATGATAAAAAGAGAAAATACACATTAATTAAAATTGAACAAACAAGCTTATTATTGAATTTTATATAAAATATGTTCGCATGAACTTCTAAAGATAGTATAATTATGATGCAATATGTGTTCTTTGGTTGAGAGTTTTCAGCTTACAGTAAAGGAATGATTTTGTTTCGGTTAAGGAACAGTGAATATATATATTCTAGCCACTGTAGTTAGTGTTATCAGTATATAGGGATTAAATTATTCCTAGTATTGCTAACCTCCCGCCATCTATCGTCAAAAAATTTCCCGAAAGAAAGTAGATTGACAGGATTTCCTTCGCAAGAACGAATTCCGAAAATTGTTGTACTTCGAAGAAACGTAATTATATTATTTTTAAATAATATATTTATTTTAAGATTAATATTTATTATTATACTTGATATAAATTATGTTTTTTTTTTTTTTTGATGATAACTGCGGTCCTGTTGTTTGTTGGTAGGCGTCGTCCCGATCTTGTTTGCTTAGCGACAGAAAATTTCGAGTACGTCAAAACAAGAGAATTTCGTCGTGAAAAAATATTAAACATATCACTCCAGAATGACAATTATAACCCAACCAATTACAGAGAAAAAACTTTCTAAACAACAAGAGCCATTAGTTAAAAATGAAGTCCCGGTAAGAAGAAATTTCGTAATTTAGTTAAGCCTAATATGTATTGCGTGTTTTCTTTTACGTTTCAAATTAATAATCTTTTCTATTAAAGATCGTGTTATATTCATTTATATTTAGGTGTTTTATAAGTTTTATAATTTTCTAATTAAATAATTATACGTATATAATGAAAATACTTGAAACATAGTTTTCATTTAAATTGACAGCTGATCGAATTAATCTCTTTAATATATATTAACATAAAAGTTTGAAGCTGTACAATGTAGTTAAAATGTAAATACTATACATGAATATGTCAAATTTATAAAATATATAAATATTTCAGAGATGATCAATTCTTATTGTGTGAAAAGCTGGAAGATTTTTAATACGGACAGTTTGAAAATAATAATGATAAAAGGAAGTAGATTTAATGCAATGAACAAAAGCTATACAAATATATAAATATGTTTTCCTGCTTATTTTTATCATAATATTGATTTATATAAAATGATTAGAATATTTTAAAGTTATAAATGTTACTTGAAATTTTATATATATATATATATGAAATATGAAATTAGGTTATTATTATTTAAATTGTTAAAAATTTGATAAATTTCTTTTAAAAAAATTAACTTTTACATAAACAAAGTTTAAATAAGAAATTTTTTATTTCCATAATTTTATTAATAGGAAATAACAAAATTTCCTTGTTATTTCCTGGTAATAAAATTGTGATTAAATAATAGTCATATGTTTACAATTGAAACTATAAAATTTCCACTGTTAAAATTTGTTTAATGATGTAATTTTAAATATTTGAAACTATATTTTATACATTTGTAGAATTGTAGAATATCTATAAATGATATAGTTACGGTTGCCAGATTTACTGGATTAAAGGACGCTTAAAAATGATTGACTGACTTTTCTCTCTCTCTGTCCCTGAAAAAGTAAATTAATTGTTTTTTTAGTTAATAACACAATATTTTGTTTATTATTTTTTAGATTTTGATTTAAAAGTTTTAATTTTCATATTGACTATAAATATTTTAAATTATAAATTAAACTAAAATTTGCAAATATTTAATGGTAAACTGTAGTGATCTATGGGGAAGGATATGTATTGATTCATATGAGGATAGACATATTACATGCCTGTGTGAAAATTCACCATTTCCATTACCAAACATAGGCATTGTAAAATGAAAATAAAGGACATATTACATCCTTTCTCATTTCAACAAAAGGCAAGCAAGGACAGTTTAGCTAAATAAAAGATGCCTAGCAACATAAATACCGTATTTACTCAGCTATAAGGCGATCTCACATATAGGGTGAGGTGTGACTTTAGGGATCAAAATAAAGAAAATTAGATTTATTAATACAATTCTAATTTTATATCATTTAATTACAAAATATTATCAAATGCATGTATTAAGGCAAACAACCATGTTTACCTTATTACATGATGAATGGAAAACAAATCCAAAACATTATAGTGTGCGTGATCAGAATAAGTTTATTTTTAATGATTCAGAATGTGCTAATATTCATTAAAAATAACAATTTAACAAATATAAAATAACTACATTTATAATCATTGTTAAGTGACCTGTATTTCATTAATGTTTTTATAAACAACAAGAAACTTTTCTGTGAACGAATGAGATGCAATGCAGTTTTTAATTGATGGATGTAGGATTAAAGCAATAAACATAGGGGGTGTGTCTTAAATTGATGCATACTGTAAACAAATTATGATAAACAGACTGTAGACCTATAATGACAGCATGAAGTATATACAGTTCAGAGAAATTATTGCAAAACCACAAAGAATCCTTCGTTCGCACGTATAGGATGATCTAGGTTTTTGAAGCAGTGAAAAATGAATAAAAACCTCATCTTATATGTAAGTAAATATGGTATATTAATATAGTCATTTTTTTTATTTTACCTTAAAATATTTTTGTTATCTGCTGAAATGTATAATTGTTTATATTGAAGTGATTCAAAAATTAATTGCCTAAAAAGTCTTAAATGATATTAAATTTAAGACTTTATTAAAATGATGATAAAATTTGAAATGTCTCAATTGGATATATTTGTTTGACTGAGATCAGACTTTTGGGATCTTGTTAGCTTTTTTCTGTTTCATATAAATGAAACTTCTAATTGTATAGTTTTTCAATTAGTTTTGCTTCAGATAAGAAGGAACATTTCTTTCAAATAACTATGCATATGAGGTTTTGGTGTATGTATGTTAGTATGCTTGGTCCAAGCAGTTGGCCTACAGGAACATCGTTATTGACATGCCTTATTTTAAGGGTCTAGTACAGGAATGGCCAACATATGGCCCGTCTAATGAATTTATGCGGCTGTGATTAATCTTTCAATATTAGCTACCCAAGTCCAAATAGCTTGATGAAAAATTCTGACACCTAATAAAAAAAAAAAGGTCAACAGCTCACTGTGCGTTTAGAGTTAATCCTCTATTACAAATCTCTTAAGTACAGCGTAGAATGTTGATAAAGCATGATAATGTGAAAAATGCATCTGTAATCTCTATGTACAATTTAGTCTCTACGGAGTGACACCACAATGAGATCTCGACCACCTCTAAATCTTCCTAGGGTTCGGCCTCTGGTTCGGCCCATGAAAAAAGTTTTCTTTCCAATTCAACCCAGGGGCAAAAACTGTTGGCCACCCCTGGTTTAGTACCATATGGATCACAATGAAGAGTGATCACACTCAAAGTTTTAGTTTAAATGTAATTAATTTATTATAATGATGATAAAATACATTGTTATTTATAGAAATTATATATACAGTGGAACCCCGGTTAACGAACGTCCTGGTTAATGACCAAATCGGTTAACGAACTTTTATTTTGGATAAATTTTGTCTCGGATAACGAACTTAACGGCTTTTTGTGTCAAATTTGTAAGCTTGCCGACTTTTAAGGAAAATCAGTTAATCGTGTGTCAGTGATGGTCTAGGGTCCATTCGTATGTTGGTGTGGCAGAGGAGACAGATGACAAGTATTTTACTGTGAAAATTGTTTATTAGAACGGGAAGATGCTTACATATTTGAGGTACAGTAGAGCATCGTTTATTCGAAAGCTGGTTAACCGAAACGTTCGTTATCCGAAAGCATTCCAGTCGGCAAATTTAAATTTTTGCTAGTGCTGTGGCACTGCAATCTTCGGCTATTTCTCGGGCTACTCAAATATTTTACGTTTTTGATATTAAATTAACATCTGAAGTATAATTTTTTATTGTTTTTATATTTTTCAATATATTTATTTTGTTTGTACAAAATAAAAAAATAATTTTTAACGAT